TGGAGTACACTGCTGAGGATGCGAACCGCATGTTTGAGGTCAACATCACCGGCGTAATGATGACTGCGCAAGCAGCGGCGAAGCAGATGATCAAGTTTGGAAGTGGAGGAAGTATCGTGCTCATCGCCAGCATGTCCGGTACTGTCGCAAACAGGGTATGGCGGTCCCAACTTCTTACCGTTTCTCACACTAATCAAGTCAACAGGGCCTCATCTGCTCAGCATACAACGCGTCCAAAGCTGGCGTGATACAACTCGCTCGCAACCTCGCATCGGAATGGGGCGAGCACAACATTCGCGTCAACACAATCTCACCAGGATATATCGTAACGGCAATGGTGGAGGAACTCTTCAAGAAGTACCCAGAGCGAAGAGACACATGGCCAACGCAGAACATGCTGGGTCGTCTGTCGAAGCCGGAGGAATACCGTGGTGCAGCAGTCTTCCTGTTGAGCGATGCGAGTTCTTTCATGACTGGCGCAGACCTGAGAATGGATGGAGGCCATGCTGCGTGGTAGAGTAGATAGTTAATTGCTAATACAGAGTTCAATGTTCAAAGCGCTGTTACTTTGGGAACGTGTGAAGGTGTTCTGTCCAATACGGAGCTTCGGAAGTCCGTGGGGTGGTGCTGAGTAAGCGGGGTGGCCGCGATTGTCGCAATGTGGGCAGGAGGGCTGGGGACGTTCGCTTTCGCCAGAGCGCGTTTGGTCGTTCTTTCTACGCCATGAAGACTTCAAACGGGTGACAACAGCACTACTGGTAGGGAAACACCTGCCATGTGCTACTCAACGCCTATTCCATCATATTTACACTGCGGCGTAACCAGCTACCGCCCGTCCAAGACCAAGCATCGTTACGAGCATGACGGCGTCTACGCCCTCTATCCTATCCCGCTCTAGGAACGCTATATTGTTCCTCGCCGGCGTATCCGCTGCATACGCGACATATCTCATTGTCACCAACGTCCAGAGCCCAGGCCCAGGCGATGGCCTCCAGCGCAGCAATGCGGTCCGCAGACGGCGCCCACGAGACCAACCCTCGGCACCCTCACTTCCTCTGAACGAACGAGACATACCATTTCTAGGCCTATACGACCTACTCGGTTACCAAGTACCGCTTGACCCTCGCAATCTGGGCACGCCGAGCGAGTTACGCGACACGATCCTGCGCGCGCAGCCACACGCCGACAATGAGACGATAGAGCGTCTCACCGAGAGCTTCTACAACGAGTTCCTCGACCGTTTACTAGTCGTACTCTACCCAGACCGAGCTCTGTCCCCGTCGCAGGCAGATGATATCCGTGTCTGGCTGAACCATCGCAACCCAGATAACGCAGGAGTGGATCGTGCTGCAGTCGCCCGCGCTGCGGCAAGGCATGCGCAGATATTCCCTCCTGGCGACAATCCCGCGTTTGATGACGCCGAAAGCGTCGCAGCTACAGACCTGTCGTTGGGAAGCGACGAGGACGCGGATGATGCTATTGATCCGGAAGGCCAGACCCTCCAGCGCACTTTATATCACATTGCGGAAGACCGCGCAAGACTAGAGGGCGTCATACATCGTGGAATCACATGTAATGGTTGTGATGAGAAGCCCATCCGCGGAACCAGGTGGCACTGCGCCAACTGCCCGGACTTCGATCTGTGCTCCAACTGCGAAGCAACCAACTCGCATTACAAGAACCACATCTTCTACAAGGTCCGCGTACCTGCCCCATATCTAAGCCTACAGAAACAGGAACCCCTCTACCCCGGCAAGCCTCACATGATGAGCCCCTCGATCGACCCGGCCCTCAAGAGACGCCTCGTAGCCGAGACTAAGATGGAAGCAGAGGAGATTGAGGCACTGTGGGACCAATTCACTTGTCTTGCAGGCTCCGAGTGGGCGGGTGATGCAACTGGGGTGGGATGGGCCATCGATCGACGCGACTTCAACCACGCTTTTATCCCTCGCTACAACGGCTTCGTCGCCGCACCGAACCTCGTTTACGATCGTATCTTCGCATACTATGACACGGACAAGAATGGGCTCATTGGGTTTGATGAGTGGGTCAAGGGTCTGGATGGCATGCACGACTCTAATGTGGATGTCAAGGCCAGGATAGTCTTCAACGGATACGACATCGATGAAGATGGCTATATATCGCGCAAGGATGTACTACGCATATTCAGGGCATACTACGCCATCGAGAAGGAGGCTACACGAAACTACATCTCAGAGCTGCAGGACGAAGTGACTGTACGAACAGCTTTGGACACAATACGGTCTAGTCAGCCCCTTGGCTCTGCTTTTACGCCCCGCAATATGGCTGCCTCGGGCACAAATAACCCCCGCCTACAGCAGAAGCGGGAAGAAGACGAAGCAACTACAACTCCACCGCTGCTTGAGCACGATAGCGATGTGGCAGACCGGGCTGAGATCATAGGGACTGCAGGTTGTCATCACGTCGCCCCCGTCTATACACCGCAAACGCCAGCGGAACAACAGGCCGGAATCGTCACTCGGAGATGGGCCCGCAGACAATACTACATCGACGAAGAAGAAGGTTTAACGCGGCCCGAAGGGTTTGAGGAATCAGACCCTGATGAGCCAGAGACTGCCGATGGTGCGAACGGAACGACTGAAGCCACAGACACAAATGGAGACTGGGCCCGCAACAGGAGCTCGCGGTCATCTTCAAGGGTACGCTTCCAGGACGACGTAGAGATGGACACACGCTCCAACGCCTCATCATCCAGGCCTGTCGGAGAGCGTTGGGGTGGGTATGAGATACCTGAGCCCGAACAAGATCTTGGCAAAGAGGTACTGTATCAGGTTACGCAGCAGGCTTTTAACGAATTGCTTAACCCGCTTTTCCTTGAGAAAGAAGACATGGCCATGGATGCACATGAGATGCGCAGCGAGCGTCGCGCAAAGGCAGCCGCTATCGACGAGCTGACTTTGTACCACTTCTCAGAGAGTAAGGCTGCTGTTGAAGCCATTGTTCACGTCGGTGCCTTTCGATACTCCAAGTGCATGATCGACAAATTCTGTCGGGCGCTTAACCATGCACGCCCTGTTAAAAGCTTGTTCCGCAACGGTACCGACGACACGCCATGCACTCAAGAAGAAGCATGCAGAGTGATCGAAGAACTTTACGACAGTGTGGAAGCGAAAGTGCTCCAATCCGTGAAGGTTTCCAGGCCCACGAACGTTGACAACATGACGACGTGGAACACTTTGCTGATCAGGTCACGGCTTCGATCAGAAATCGTCGATGCTACCATGGAGTGTATAGACAACAAAGGCTGGCTGATACCACCACTTGTGGATGAAAGTCCGCCTGGTATCCACAGAGATCCTACTATGCCTCAATTCCGGCCGAACTCGTCCGATCTTCCATCTGCAACGGCCTTGCAGACTACCTCGAACAGCTCTTCAAATAGTAGTGTCATTTCCGACACTGATACATCTTCGATAACCTCGGGCGAAGATATTATGAATCGTTGTTTCTTCATCACGGCAGGCCACGATGCATTGGAACATCATCCAGGGCAAATCTACGTTGGCGAAACTGATGCCCTGATACATGATATTATGAGCTGTGCTGAAGAAGCTCCCCCAACTGACTCCTCGGCGAATCAGCAAGACAAAGAAAAAGACCCTTACACGATCAATTGGCGATGGTATACCGACAATCCAGAGTTTTACTATCTCTTCACTCGAAACTCTGAGGGCGTGGATACATTTCTTTGCGCTTATAACCCGATCAATCATTCCGCGAGTCCACATGACCCTGAGGCGAATCAACTTAAGCCGTTGCTGCGCTCGATTCGACAGCTCGCTATGAACCCGAAGTCTAATCTACATCTCATTGTGCTAGCGAGTCTTGAGGCTGTTGAGCAAGAGATCGACGAACGAAAAGGAAGCGGACTGGTCAGCTTCGAGGAGTTTCGGGAGCATATGAGGCAGGGCAGATTGAAGTTCCTGGAGGCTTGGATGGAATGGGTAAGCATGTGAACTCGTGAGCAAGAAGATGGGCGTCCTGCTATGTCCACTTCACTCAGACTTCATATGCTTAAAGGGGATCTTGCAATTCCGATACACCTTGGCTCGTCGTTCAGATCACGGCGCTGACGATTACATCTAGCCTAGGGCACGAGCTGTTCTTGGATTTGACTGACATCGCTTGTGTAGTTCCTAGAACTAAAGAATCTCTCATTACGATTTCACAGCATGGCCGCTTTGGACTGAGGGGTTAGTCTGGTGCCGATTCTGGTTGGTCGAGGTGGCACTATGACGAGGGATATACATACCCACATGAGAAGGAGCGGAGGAAAAGCAAAGAAGTGCCATTAGCTCAAAAAGCAGAGGCAATTAGGCCCCCAAAATACCCAGACCTTAGGTCTACAAATGAATGCACCACCAGTCCCGATGTTTTCGTCTCGGCTGCTACTCCGACATATTTCATTCGCTTCGCTTACCTTAGTCTTCGATCTCAGCTGTATGCAAGCTCGCCCACCAAGCCTCATGCAACACTGGATATCAAATTCCACATTGAGCCCGATGCACCGCGAAGTCACGGTCCGGTACTGGAAGTGGTTCGTCTTTACCGTGACGATAGCAAGCCACAATCTGATGCACAGCCTTGCGATGGCGTCCATCCGAGCTTCTCCGAAGGTGATCATTCTCTAGCTCACGAGCTTCCAACTGTAGAAGACCGTGTGGATTTGGCAAAGTAGTGAAGGAAGGAAGTTATCCTTCTTCGGTCATCTTATCGTTTCCCATTTCGAGGTTGCAAAAACGGAAGATGGGCTCAACAAATCGGATACTCCAGCCCTATGATACGAAGCCAATACCGTCAAGCCTAGCGTTGGCGTTCGAGGTACTTTAGTGGCGTGCGTCAGTAGTGATCCGTCAAGAGCATCTAAAGTCCTCCGTCAACACACATAATACGCTTCTACTCACGCAATCCTATAAGACACCGTGACAACAAACCCACAGTCAAGCCATACAGCCATTATGAAACCCTCAACCTTTTTCACCTCAACTATCTTCACCCTCGCTGCTGCCTCATCCTTCCCCAGCCCCGAAACACTGGCTACCAGCGACATCTGGATAGGCCTAAACTCGAACAAATGTCTCGTCAACGCTGAGGTCATTCCCCAAGCCAAGTAAGTTTCTACAAGCAACAATCAATGCCTTCCCTGGAACCTCCACTCTCTCTCTATACATCCACCTAACGACCACACCCAGTCTCGCCGCCCAAAAAGCCGTAGCCAAAGAAGTCATCGCCGCCTACAACGCCTGGGACATCGAGCGAATCCTCAGCTACCGAACCCCAGACTGCAAGCAAAACATCCTCCCCGCCAGCTTGAACCGCACAGCCATGACCAACGACGAATACCGCGTGTTTTTCGGAAGAATCCAACCTTTGTACAAGAACTTCATTGTAAACACCCCCTCCCACCTCTTCAACACAGCCTAACAACTGACCAACACATCTACAGGCTAGGGTTCTTCAAGAAACACACGACCCCGACGCACATACGTGTATCATACATGCGCGTAGTACGGCGACGACGGCGATTGGGCCGTATGGGAATGAGTATGCGCTTATTCTGACTTTTACGGAGAATGGCACGAAGGTGAAGTATTTCGATGAGTTTGTGGATTCGGCGTATACGCTGGATTATGGGAGGAGGTTGAATGCTGCGTTGGCGAATGGGACGGGGACGAGCCTTTAAATTGGACTTCAGGACACAGAGATTGGACTACACCATACAAGAAGCTTTCCGTAGCTTTAACACAACCAAATTCACGAAGTTGACGGGATGTAATGAGTTATAGGGGAATGCAGAAGCATTAACGGCACAGCGTTGAGTGGTATGTAGTCGTAATGTTCGTCTATCTTGTCTATATATTTGGGCGGAGCCCTTTGTCCATGCATATGCCGCGCTGGTATAGCGACGGCGCTTCTAGTAGTGGTGATGATGATGATCGCTTTTACCGTGTCCCGTTAAGCACGGCCCGTCAGTCGCACCGTCATAGGGACATTATTCTGTGTTTGCGAATAACGGGCCCGACAGGCTTCCTGCTCTTGCCCTTGCACGACGCTAGTTGGTGCAGGTCCTTGGACTTTACCATGCATCTTATGTGCATGCAGACAGCGGATGTATGTTGTAATGATAGTTTGTTGCTGTGTCCAACAAGGCAGCCTCAAGGTGCGATGTGAGGTATTGCTTGTTCCTTCAAACTCAGATTGCGACTTCTGTCCGTATCCGTCGTCTCTTCACTCCATCTTCCTGTCGGTGTACGAGGTCGTGTCATACGTGCCTCGGCGTCCATCTCTTCGAAGTCTTCCGGCTGTGCCGGCTCACTTGTGACCTTAGTTGTAGTGACCAGCTTGATATCCTTTGTGCCAAATCCACAGAGGTCGTCCGAGCTTTCGCTTCCCGAGGGTAGCGTTATCCTACTCTTCGATCGTCCTCTCCTTGTGTGTGCATTCGTCGCTATGATGGTGGTTTCACCTCCAAAGCGCTTGGGCTTCTCGATCCAGAATGCGGCGAAGGTATCCATGACGTCGTCGTCAGAGGGTGGCTCATCGGAGAATATCATGATGCGTCGTGTGCATGCGTATAGAAGTACATCTAGCCAACCGTTCGATGTGATCATTGCTCCTGATAAGCAAAGGCGAGCAAGCGAGGGTGGGTTGCCGGACATGGACGCCATTCGGGCGGAGGCTAGGGGAATGGTGCATACGACGTAGACGAGCGGGTATACGACCATGAGGTTTGCGATGGAACGTACACGCTTGGCTTCTTCGGTGGTGTAGTAGCCGGCGCGGATTCGGATCGACAGCATCGCGTAGATGATCGCGTAAATCAGGACGTTGCCGAATTCACTGTAACAAGCGTTAGAGAAACAATGCGTCTTTTGTGTTTCGAAAACTTACAATGCGAAGATCCAAATATAGTGGGTCCATAACCGCAAGTCTTCTAGGTCGTGATGGATCCAACACCATACTCCAGAACGAACGTAGATGCTTTGCCCATGCATACCAAGGCCAATTGAAGATACTCCCAAGATGAATGCCCACAGGAGGAAGATGCAGATGTAGAAGTTCCGCGGCTTTAGGCGGAAGTCTAGGATGACGGAGGCGAAAGTATGTAATCCGATAACGAAGCACCAAACTCCACTTCCCAAGTCACCAGTAGACACCAGCCAGCCCTGCGCAAAACATATTGGATTGGTGACTTCAACGGATCCCAGTCTTAGCCACTCGACGTTCAGTAAAAAGGCAAGCGCCTGTTGAATGTCCGCCCAGAGGAGGTTGAATATCAGAATGACGAATTGGTTGCTTCTTTTCGACCGTAGTTGCCAGGATACCAGTTTGTAGGTGAGTAAGAAAAGCAGTGCTACTGATGCGAAGAAGCTGATGAATCCCAAAGCGACAACCGAACGTAACCACGGATGAATATGCGCGGGTAGTACGAACGATGCCGATTCGACGTCCAGGGGTTCCCGAATGGTCATTGCGATTGACGAACGATTGATCCTGCAACGTTTCGAAGGGTATATAGGGTACACCTAAAAAGAAAGAGGCCTCCGGCTGTCCAAAACTAACATGTCGAACCTATAGTCAAAAATATATCGTAGGCGAAGTAAAGTAAAAATATGGCGTTTGACCGAGCACCAGCGCAGGCACAGAGAAGGACCACCCCGGGGGCAAGCGGCAATGATGTACAATCGGCTGTAGGGCCCCAGCTTGCTGAGAGATGCCATGAACCCACGACAAGGAGTATCGTAATCTACAGATCCACTATAAGCTGGGGAGAAGAGAAGCGATGACCCCGGTCCCCACCCTTCAACGCTAGCGTCGCTCGTGGCATCCACATGGTCCTAGCCGCAGCGTGGGAAGGTGCTTGCTAGCCCACAAGCGTTGCAGCGGTTTCTATGCGAAACGTGGCAGGAGGTATCCCCGAAGCGTGGGGATATGCTCTAGAAGGCAGTGGCTTCAAACTTGCGCCCGCCGTTATGTCGTCTTTTGCTTCGTGGTTTCTGCGCAACACGGTGGTCTGTGGAGCAACTCACCCGAAAGTCAACAACAGCTGAACCTCCCACCTGGGATGAGGGGAACAGAGCGTCATCTGACAGGCGTGCGATCATGCATACCACCGACCCAAAGACCGACCTGCGGCACGGCCGGCATTACTGTATTTTGAGTGTCGAAAAGTCTCGGCACCACTGGAGAGGGTCAGTGGCTTCGGCTGGGCCACGAGGAGCACTTCCTTCGGTTAATGTGAATGTCAAAACTCACATCGTGGTTGGTGGATGGCAGCGGGAGCTTGTGTAAACACCGGATGATTACACACTCAGAAGCAATGAGCCGTGTTCTTCTCAACGACATCGTTCACTCATCGAGTCCAGGTCTCATGTCGCGGCGCGACTGCGGTGGTGATGAAGGTCACTACCATCTGATCGGCGCTAGCTCCGGATTATCCCCCAGGACAAGATCATCAACACCAGGTTCTCCTAACCAGGTTCCCTCTGTGTGCAAAACCTCCGTCACGAAGCGAGGCACTGAATCTCACTAACATGATACGCTCTGAACACTGTACGTTCAATCTCACGCAAGCTTCAAACATCGGGCTATCCGAGCGTAGTGTCAATGGCCCGCCTGGCCCGCCTATCCCCAAAGCAGCCGGACTGCCGACGGGCTCTGCGCACGGCTGCACACCAAAACCATGGCGTGCGCAGGTTGACGACAAATGTGGTACCCTTCGACGCATCCACGGGAGATGGACGTGGGTATCTTTCTAGAAAAAGAGGTATGGAAGCCTTGGTGTGCACAGGCATCGTAACGCATTCGAACCATGCGACACACGACTTGGAACACAAGATACAAGATCTTGATTAATCAACAACAGCTTCTCCAATGAGCTCTTCTTGTCATGCTTTGAGGAGGGCCTTCTTTTGATGAGTATGCGCGCACGGCCCGTTAGCCTTTCTTTTACCCCGGGAAAAATGACTTGGCCGAGCACAGTCGCAATCCTTCTCAGCCAGCCAAGTGCCTACGCCCGATCATGCGTAATATCGCTCCTGACCTTCCGTTCGTGGAAAGTTGCACCAGGAGCTTCAGCCTTGTATGACAACACGATGGTACGCTGCACGTCAAACTTTCGGCATCTGCGTCCTTTTTCGCCTTCGGCCCGCTTCCCATGACATTCTACCGCGAGCGACAGATGCTACCGCTCTGCTGGGCTCCGTACGAACCGAGTTTGGAAGGCAAGCGCGCATGTGAGAGGCCGTCAGCGTCCAGAGCACGGAGAAATCAAAAGTGTGCCTACTATGATGTGAAGCACGGAGCATCGTTTACGCAGGTAGAGAGCCTAGAAGTCAAGAATGCTTCTTGCTGTTCTAAGATGCTTGTTTTTCGCTGCTTTGGGCTACAGCGTAGGAGAAGACCTACTCACATCTGTTCGGTTTCTTCCTTGCATGGGCAACAGCTTCGTGTCGCTGACATGCACATCCGGCGCATCCGAATCTCTGCGCACGCACCGAGGTTTTGCAGATCTGACACCGATGACTTTCCTTCTAGAAGGTTTCTGCTATAGTTTAGATGCGTCTAGATACGCGTCACGGTTCTGCACTAAGCTCGCTTGAGTGCATACTGAAGGCGTAAGGCGTTGGAAAGGGGTAACGACTTCGGAGAAAAGGTAAAGTATTTTCCGCGCAAACCAGTAGTTGCTAACTATGAAGCGATGTGTTAAACGAAGGAATATAGAATGTCCACTTCGCGATGGACCCGCACATTCTATTACCGTAACTTATTTGAAGTGAATCGTGGCCTGGCAATGTTGGCTTCGAAGAAACGAAACGAACGGCACCCATGGAAACGCGACCACTGGCGATCGTGAACCAAGTATGAAATATGGTCGTCGAGTCGCGATAGAGTTGCCCAATCGAGCCGCACGTACGCTGAATAAAAGATCTGGACTTCGAAGCCAACGCCGTAACAGATACACCAATATACGGAAGGAAACACACGCAACAGCCTGCGCCATGCCTCTGTCTCTTTATCCCCCACTCCGTTGTTCCGACTCGCTGTTGCTTCACTCAGCCTGTGAGCTTCACTTCCTTTTTGATCTTACTTTCCGAAGCTCCCGACCCTTCTTTTGTACCCTTTCTCCAGACTCTGCTTTGGGTCTGGGTGATCTTTCCTCGGCTCGGTTGGTAGGTTGCTCTTGTGCTGGCCATGGCATTTGCTGTTGCCCCTCGCTCATATATCCGCTGTCGTTCACACGTCGATCATTATTATCGTAGTACATGGGTTGCGCCTGGCTGTCCCGTGAACCCATCGGTGGACCTGGGTCGTATTGCGAAGCAGTCCCAGAGTTTGAGACATCCGAAGAACTGCGTGGTGACTCGTCATCGATGCTGGGCCGAACGCGTACTACCTGACCGAATTCGGTAGTCGCAGGTCTT